GGGCTCCGCGGGAAGGGAGCCGGCTGCTCCCGCGGGCACGGACACGACGTCGGCGGCGGGAACGCACGCGGCATCTGCGGCAGAAACACACAGGAACGAAGGAGAGCTCAGATACGTGACACTGCGGTGCCATGAACAGGGGACACGGGGCCTCCCGCCCAGGCTGTGCTCAGCGCGTCGTGCCTGATGCCAGCGAGGTCTGCGGTGGCGACACGTCTGCCTCGGCGCTGACTTTGCAAGAGCTGAAGCCCTCAGAGGAGTCGTTTCGGGAGCTCCAGGCCCGGGCTTCAGCTGTGCAAAGGGTTTTGTGAACGATCGGAACTCAGCGCGCTGGTGACCCCGCGGCTCCCGCGTTGCGCTGGGCAGACACCAGCACCGGAGCGGCCCCGCACCACGAGCTGCACCGAAAAACGCGGCCCCGGCTCCAGCAACGCTGCAAAGTCGGATATTAAACGAACCGAGAAAGAAAAGAAAGGAAAAAAAGAAAAAGTGCCATCTTAAAATAGCCCTTTGGAATCCGTCTAGACAAAACGCCTCTCTGGGGACCACGGCACGGGCCTGGGGAGGAAGCTCCCGCGCATCCGCATCCCGGGGGATGCAGGTCTGCGGGAATTACCAATGTGCAGCAGATTAACTCGTGCAGGACCCAAGGCAACACGTGCGCGGGGCAAAGCAAGCGCCGGAGGAAAGCGGAAAACCATCGAGCAGCGAAGCAGCCCGGCTGCACCTGAGCTCTCCTTAGAGCCCCCAGCCCCAGGGACGAGTTCCTCTCCTCCTGCCTGCTCCACCGGGACCGGCAGCGCTGACACTGCTGCGGATCGGTATCGTGACACGCGCAGCTGCAGCGGCACCACGGCCTTGGTGAGGCTGCAAAAGGTTTAGCTGGAAGCCGTGTTTAAAGATAACTGGACAGTGTACACAGCTTTGTAATTGGGATTTAACTTGAAATGCCGTTGATTATGCGTGAGAGCAAATTCTGTTTGTTGTTCCCTCCGCTGCGCTGACCCTTGGAAAGGGCGAGCACGAGGGATGCGGCTTCCCACCGGAATCAGCAGATTTGTCTCTCATCGTGCACAAAGGCAGGAGTAAGGACGACAGCAGCAATAAAGCTCTGGTTTTATAGGGCTCCTTTTCAAGAGGAAATCCCATCCGTGTCAATTATTATCTTAGCATCGAGGAACAGCTGAGCACACGTCCTGGGGGAAATCCCCGTTCCTGCCCTGGTACCAGGGCCTGCACAGAATGGAAAGGCAACGTGGAGCCCATAGATCTGGTGGTTGAACACGGGCTTTTTGCCCAGCTCGGCACTGGCCACATTCCCTGCACCCAGCCCAGGGAAGGGAGGGTTTTCCAAGGGGTTAAGGCCCTGGTGATGGGATATGTCCCCAGAACAACACACCCTGCTGAGGGCTGGGCTTGGAGCTCCGTGCCAAGGATGTGCAGCTACTTTACCTGGGGAAATGTGCTATTTTGAGAAGAAGTATTGACAGTGCCATCATTAACTCTGTTATCCTCAACTAGGAGTCAACAGTCTACACAAATTCCTCCCACCTCGTAACACACACTCGATGCTTAATTAGTGCCCCGTGGATCATCTCCCTAAAGCACACGTTTCTCTGGGAAACTCCTCTGAGAAGCACACGGCTCCGCTAGCGTCTTTCGTTTCCTGCAAAGGGGGACAAGGACAGAAGCTGCCCCTGGTGCTCGACGCTCTCCAGAAACACCCTTACCTG